TGTTATATTGACAAAATTCTGTCATACATACATATTTATCACGCCTGTTTCCCATTAGAGTAGGCAGAAACAATGAAATGCCAAATACTTTGATTCACATTATCAGACCTCTTTCACTTCCTCCACATTCGTCACACATCTTTTCATATAAGCTCGCTAGTTACGGGTACTTTTAGTTTCCTACCGACATCACTATTCATTCGTGCTTGATAAATTTCTATAAAAATATCTTACATCTTAACTATCTTACATACATCCTCCACAATTTGTGTGTCAGTCAATTTGTATGTAAGTACAAGTATTTCCAAAGATGAATTACGAAAAAGAGTATTTCTTTTCAAAACAAGTGACTCTCGATTCGTATGTACTTGTGAAGCTATGTTATGCGCTTATGTAGGCAATTCTAAACCGATTTTAATTCTTTTTGCAACTTTAGGCACATTTTAAATGTATCAGTTGATACACTAACGCTTAAAATATTTACTATCACAGTAATGTTCATCATATTTATTTTGATCATATTTTCAACAACTAAACTGACCATGAAAATTATAATTAAACAACTTAAAAAATTTTAATTGAATTGAAATAGATTATTTATATATTGATAATTTTCACTTTTGTTGTTCGAGATGCCTTCAACTTATTAGCTGGGCTACGCTATGCTGTATGCATATTGCGAATGTTTATTGTCATAATCTTTTTGCATGAACCTCTAGTTTTGCGATTATGTGTTTATATTATATTTTGTTACCTATAACGTTTATTAATTAGAACGTTTGAGAAAATTCAAAAGACCTCCACACCAAGATGGTTTTCAAAGGCGCTGAAAGTTCTCAGTTGCAAGACTCAATTTATGAGTAATTCCTTGTTATTCTATCCTGCACAGCTATGAAATAAATATCGCTTATATATTTAAGGATGCATCTCTACTGGGTCTTTAAAAAATATATTGTTATTCCACTGCCAAATGATTCTTTCGAGAGAATTTAATTCAATGATGATACTCATCATTGAATTAAATTCTAACTTTTATATTATGCGTACTCGTATTGCATTCATCATTTCGTTGCATAATTTATGCACATTTATTTATATTTATAAGGATAAATGTTGATGTGGTTATTAATCATCAAGTTTTTTTTTTTTTAATTTCTCATTGCCATATTTAAATATTTCTTTACAATTCTCGGTTTAAGAGTAGGCGAAGATATCACTTAAGAATCTCGTCTTGTTTTAAATTATCATAAATAATATGTTAAAATTATAATATTTTTTTAAGAAATAAGGATTAAATCATTTCCTGGAGGCTATACTTGTACAAAAGTACTCATTTCTGTATGGGAACTTCTGTCCCACTCGCGTTTCTGCTACCAAACGTCAGTGCTTGGGTAGTTGTGTTCCAGTTTAAAGGGTAATATGGAAATGTTATTATTAGGTACATAGACATACCTTAGTTGTCAGAAATAATATCACATGAATGTTACCCCTGATACATTACAGTCTTTGTATTCTCTTAATCATAGTATATGTACTCTATTTTTCGTCAGATGAGCCGTCGGCTTGTTTGTGATTTTAACGTACATAAAAAATATTCTTATGAAAAATTATTCTTATTTTTTAATTAACATTTTAGCTTTGCGAATATTTTCAACTGATTTCTGAGATATGCTTGTGCCACATTTTTGTTTATAATGAGAGCCACTTTCGAGATTTTTTATCTGTTGATTAGGAAATATAAGTAAGACTGACCGAATATCAACGATATTTTATAAAAACGAAAGACAGGTATGTTTTATCAAAATTGGTCGAACCAAAAATGATATATAACTTCTCTCCTTTATTGTACGGTATATAATTATAAAAGTAACATAAATGAATAAATATATTAAGTTCCAAAAATTATTATCTCTTAACTATTGCCATTGTGGTGAAAGTAACACTCGACATGCCCACAATTCCACATAAAGATTCTAGGTATTTATTAGTAACGCACTTTAAATAAGTATCCGTTAAATAATTTACCATATATTTTTACGTTTTAAATAAACAAGTGAGATCACATCTTTTCTAATTTGTATTTTTGACTAATGAACATATTTTTGTATTTAGTTCTATAATGGATAGTAGTAGCATTTCTGTCACTAGAAAAAATCGACTCACTCTCTGGCAATCCTTTACTCGTAACAAGTATTTTGCATTTTCAAAAATGTACCTTTTTAAAAATGTTGAGGTATGTGAGTAGTATCTTCAATATGCAAACATAGGTATATATTAACTATTTCCGTCACTCTTAGAATAATTATTATTTAAACTATAGCAAACACGTGAAATTGAACAACTGTCTGTTCTTATCCTTCTATAGATAGCCAATAAGTCATGGATAAATCACATCTGCTCATTACTGATTATGTCATCGGGCAGAGTAACATTTAAAGCTTTGTGGTGCCACCTACGCTCATCATCTGTTCGCTCACATACATACATACATAGTTCGCACCGCTGTGTTATGAATTCACGATTTTTGCTAAAACGAATGTTTAGAGAATAATAAAATATATAGTAAACTATTGTTTACGAGCGATTTCGTCCGCGAAACCGGTATACATTAATTGACCAGGATAAAAAATAGTCCATTTGAAATATTTGCTTGAATTGGTTGGACCATTAAAGCGCCAAAAGGTAACAAATAAATAAAAACGAAGTTTTGAATTTGTAAAATTTTTTCAACTATAAAGATATTGTACCTATAGGAATTATTTATCTAATTTTTAATCAGGTTTTCAGCTATATGTTTTTTTGGATAGTCCGGTAAGCTCACTCACAACATATGCGTGATCGCTTTTAAACCAGGAAACCCAGAAGTTGTAAACGCGAATCTATCTTCTGTAAACCCGATCCTTCGCTCTGCGCATTCAGACCTTATCCGCTGTTTTTGTTACATCATCAGCCCACTGCAAGTTTGTCTTCCTACTTTTTTCTGGGCAGTTCTTAGTTTCCACTCTGCGATTATAGAGACATAGAAGATTATATCATCAGCAAAACGGAGGTGTAACAACAATTCTCCATTTATTTTTCGCTTGGCTTGGATCTCTCTCAAAGATTCCAAGCCAAGTAGAACCGCTAGAGACTGAACTCCTTTTATGTTTTGTATTTTTCATAAAGTTTAAAAATTTAAACATCACTTATACACGCGACGCTGCCCATTACGAGTTGGCGAATCCACTCCTATTAGGGGTAATTAGTTGCCTGTGGCATATGATAGCCTTTTCTTAAAAGATATAAGTTCTTCTTATGTAACCGCCGCCCGATACATGGGATTGGTTATTTTATAGTTAAGTAAAGCTCCTCCACACCAACCTCGCTTCTTTCTCAACCGAGCTTGTGGACCGGCATTGGTGGTGTTTAACGCGAATAGAACTATTATTATGTAATATATCTAATGTTTATACATTATGCTAAATAAAAAAAAAGAAGGAAACGTTAAAGAACATGGAGAAATCCTTGTAAATAATGACAGATACTTTGTATTTTACAAATATGTTTTGAATATGTACAGTCTTACATACAAGACGCCAGAGGTAGACGATGTACGTAATGATGTACATTGAGGTTGCGACATCCCAACAACGATACTCAGACAATCCAGCGTCTAAATTATTTCATAGTATTTAATTTTAAAATGCATTTACATGTATTTGAGTCACAAAATAAACTAATTGATAGCTAAATAGATTTTGTGTTGTAACGTACGTGTAAGTAAATAAAGCACCCATTAAAATATACAATAGTATAAGACCCTACAAGAAAGAGTATGTCAGACTCATATTATTTGGGCTCGGTAGCAATGCTTTAGTTTTTAATTTAGTAACCTAACCTAATTGTTATTATTATTATTATTATGAGTACACCTATCCCCCGATTTACACGGTACTTGTTTTACACGTTTTCGCTTTTACACGGTTTTCCAAATAAGTTTTTTTTTTTTGTTTTTATCGCACTCTACTAAATACTACTGTGTTGGAACACGTGCGCTGTGTACACATCTCACGGGTAATCCCGAGCTTATGTGTGCTGACTTGCTGCACATGCACACTGTGTCTGTATTTCTTCGCATAAAATTAAAGTTTTATGTACGGAAAATTGTATTTGAGTAAGAATATTAAAAAAAATCAACTGTTAAATAGCAAAATTATGCATTTTCTGCAAGCTTTTCGATTTACACGGTTTTGACTTGAAAATTTTTAATTTTCGATATACACGTTTTTCTCAGGAACGTATCTACCGTGTAAATCGGGGGATAGGTGTATTACCTATTAGTCTTACCTATTAGTGCCGCCATTTTTTTAAGATATAATAGAATAGAATTTTTATGAGTACTTTCATCATTCTTGATCAGCTTTCTTCTTGTACAGCCTTAAAAATTTTAGATATGATGCCTTATTGACAAATGTCCTGAGGGACAGATACAGAGACACATAATTCTAAAAATTTCATTTATGTATGCTATCTAGATATAGAATCCTAAAATTTCTTTAATATTGTTATTAGTATCTTATGAATACATTTAACTTAGTATTTTAACAATTTTGTTATTAGTTCAAGATATCATTTATATGTATGTAATTAGTATTATGTTCATTGTTATAAAAAGATATAAATTCCAAATGAGCACAAATTACATCAAAACACATGTAGTTTAAATGTGACGGTAATGATGCCTACTGTAATTATCCTTTATTTTCCATTGGCTGATTTCGCTTTATGCTAAATATTATACAGAATTATATTTCTATCATTTATATAAATAACACGACTTGCGTTTGCGAAAACTATTGATTGTTTATTATACAAGGTAGATTCAAAAACAGAATAGCACGAATGCCTGTTATAAAGTAAAAAAGAATAATTCTCGAACACGTAGTGTCATTACTGAGAACATCTATTTCCTTCTGTTGATAATGACAGTACCTACATTACGTATACTTTGTTTGTTTCAGGTATAAAATGACAATGCTGAAGAAGATATCTCATCTGTAATTTACAAAAAGATTAGGTTGGTATCGCATAGTCATCATCACATTGTTCTATGTCATATCTCAATCTGTATTTTTCCAATTATTAATGTAGCTATTAGTTCTACGTACTTATTAGTGATACCTTCACGAAACTGCACCGATTTCAGTTATCGTTGTAATAGACATTATTTTTATATACCTATCTAAGAACAAAATCTTTGATACCTATGCGTGAGTATATTATTATCATGATTGATGTCATTCTTTGTCAAATAAAAATTATTTATCATAATATTGATTATAATATATATATAATAGTATTTATTATAATAAACTTACCATCATATATAAGACAATATTAGGTCTGTTACGGCTCGCCATCGACAGGGAGTTCACGTACAACCCGGTTTCAGAGATGTTTTCTCCTACGAACTTTCAGGTTATGGAATGATCTCCCTGCCTAGGTTTTTCCGAGAGACTACAGCATGGGATTCTTCAAAGGGAGGATAAAGAGGTTTCTTCAGGGTCGGCAATGCGTGCGTAATACCCCTGGTATTGCAGGCGTTCATAGGTTCATGTGGATCGATTTACCACCTCAGTGGTATAAAAAATATAATTAAATTAGTGATAATTAAACTTTAGCGTCAATATGACCTTACCCACTAAATTTTGTTATATACGAGGTCTGTCCGGAAAGTTCGTATAAAAGTGTTCTGGAATGCGAGAAAGAGGAGTGGGGAGGCCAGGTAAGCGCAGGACCCCTTCCTTATGTCCCTAACAATGCTTCAGTTCTGGTCTGACCGCCGTGCGGTGCGAACTGGCTTGTCACGCCATCTGTGAAGTTACCTCTTAACGAAACCCCGTCGGCATGGAGCCCGCTTCCGTTGAAGAGCAGCGCGTCGTAATCAAGTTTCTCTCGAAACTCGGCAAGAATGGCCGTGAAATTTTTGCCGATCTCAGAACAGTTTATGGGGATGATGCTGTGAAGGAACCAACCGTCCACAAGTGGCTAAAAAGATTCAGAGAGGGCCGAGAAAGAGTTCGATGTTCGGGGGATTGTCCATCAAGAATTCGTCCCTCCAGGCCAGACAGTTGATGGAAAATTCTACGTCGATGTGCTCAGACGCCTCAAAGCTCGTGTGGCACGAGTTCGTCCAGAATTGGCGCGAGAGGGGCGTTGGATTCTTCACCACGACAATGCCCCTGCCCACACCTCTCTTGTTGTCCGTGAGTTTTTGAGTAAAAATTCCATTACGGTGACCGAACACCCCCCAAATCGCCGGATTTGGCCCCGAGTGACTTCTTCTTGTTCCCAAAAACCAAATTGTGACTTCGGGGGCGGCATTTGGGGAACATAAATGAGATAAAAAAGCTACGACGGGGCAGCTGAGAAACCTACAACCAGAGGACTTTCAAGGAGCCTTCTCACAGTGGAAACGGCGTTGGCACAAGTGCATTATGTCACAGGGGGAGTACTTTGAAGGGGATAAAATTGATTTACCTGAATAATTGTAAAATAAAATTTTTAAAAAACTTTTATACGTACTTTCCGGACAAACCTCGTAAATACAACTCAGTAAGGTAAGTAACGCTATGCTCTCATTAATGTAGGTATTTTGTTGTCATTTGATTGGCTGAAATTATAACCTCGGTGACAAATAATATTATACTAGTCCGATAATATATAAAAGGTAGCCAATATATCAGGCCCTACCCTATCGGATTTAGATTGGTTTATATGTATTGCCTCGAAAAATAGTAGACTGATAAATAATTTGACAGTTTGAGAGCAAAACGTAAATCAAAATTTTAATTACAAAATATCGTAGGATGTAACTGAGAAAACAGCAAAGTTCACACAAACAAATCACCGGCTCATCAAAAAGAAAACTATATGAGGCTATCTGTATAGTGCGGTAATTAGAATATATTCTCTTTCAGAGAGAGAGCCATATTCTGTATAATATAAGATTGTCGTTACTAAATATGTTTTGTTTCTAATGAAATATTCTACTATCCTTGATGGTTTGGAGGGAATAATAAAGAATATATATGGGTCATATACCAGCGATCTCCAGTTTTGCAATCATCTGGAGTAAAAGGTCAAGATGGCCTTAAAAAGTTACTTACCATTAGATGAGCCATATACTGCTTTGCCCCTTGTGTTATAAAAAAAATTTGTCTATTTTTATGTAAACTGTACATCACTGCTGGCCAAAAGTTTATAGTAATTTAATCGTATAATGATTTTTCATTTCATGATGCATTTTTGTATAAAGTACTAACTTTACGGCATATGAAAAGTTTTTTTTTTTTTTTTATTAAATAGTTAAATAAACACAAATACACATAATCTACTATCGCTTTTACCGTGTATTTGAAGAATCGTAGGTAGGTAACTATTGCTTAAATACATTTGCTTACATTCTTATTTGTATATGTTATAAACATACCTATACCTAATATAATTATTTAAGCAAAATACCATAGTTGTAGGTATATAACTAAATAATGAGTTGAGTAGACAGCTCGTAGGTAGGTATCTAAACGAGTATCTGCGAATTCATTAACCCTACGCTGAAAGTCTGCCAGGACAAAGAGCAGTTTGTTAATCACACTGTGTATCTAACAATACATACTTTATTACAAAATGATACTTTTATCTTATGAACTAAATGAACAAACCAATATATTATTTGCGTTTATGTGCATTTATATTCAAAATATTGTGCGTAATATTCTGTTTATCGATTCGATGGAAAGTTTGATGTTTTGTTTACCTGACCTCGAAATTTGTATTCATCCAAGAGAAATAAGGCTTCACTTTATTATATTTCTTTTGTTTACATTGGTTCGCATTAGCGAAGTATAAAGTATGTAAATATACCTACTACTGTATATGTATATATATATATATATATACACCTTAATATGCCGTGTGGTTCCCGTAGGTATCGTAAGAGACAATTAAAAAAACTTAATGGTCGAATAATGGGCAGCAGCGTTCCTCTTAAAACAACAATAAAGAATAACTGCGGTTACCAACCCGCCTGCCAAGCATGGCAACTACTACTACTATCAAAACCCCCCTTTATGGGCGAGGCTTATGTTCAGCAGTGAGCATTTAACGGCTGATATGATGATGATGATATATATTTATGGCAACAAACAGTCATGTATGAATATACCATACTACACATCAGAGTTTTACTATAAAAGATCTTTGTAGTCACAATAACAGTATTATATACATATATATAATTCGTCATCAAGGACAACGATAATTATATTAAAGTGTAATATATTACGTAAAAAATATTAGAATATTATGTTAGTTTGTTTACATTACATATATGCCCATAATTGTATAGATAAAATGGCGTTGAGACAAGAGACGGTACCTGCCCTAGCGCCTTCCCTGCTTCGAGATCCTTACCGCGATGACTCTGGCCCACCCATCGCTTCTGAAGACTTTGATGATATGGTAAGTTGGTAATCATCCTTTATTCAGATTTTAACGACTAAGTGATAAAATAGGAGTTGGTATATAAATTCTTTTGTAAATACAACAATAACCAATATTTACATTTACATTTTGATAATAAAAAATTGTAAAAACAAAGGTAAACAAGTAAACTCTGAATCCGTACTAATGTTAGCTATAATTGTGAAAGTGATTTTGTTTATTACTTTCTACTAATCAACTGCTCAACCAATCTTCATAAAATTTGGCATACGTCTAGTATTTGGTATGAAGGAGTACGTTTTATTCCAGCCACGCAGATATGTTGCAACCAAAGCTAAGCTTTTTTAATGGATAATAACGAAATGGCAGCCCCGTCTGCGTTAACAATATACGCTGGCGGTGCACCAGTGAGGGTTGATAGGTCGTGATAAATACACCTCGAATTCAACACAGTGGTTTCCAGCGGGGACTACGTGGAGGTTGACCTGACAGGGTATATTGCTAGCAATGGAATCGATAGTCCGCATTACTAACAATATAATATAGGGCTCCTAGGTCCATTATTAACAATCCCTTTGCCCCCCCGGTCAAAGCTAGTATGATAATATATGAATGATGCATAAAAAAATTAAGATAATCATTATTTTCTATTAGTAAAGTTAGATGGAAACCTTGAGCCGTTTTATTCATCAATTTTTATATTTATGTTTTTGGTGTAATGGTAATAAACACATTTATGCTTAATGGAAGACGGCACGATATGACAGCTACGTTAAATAATATTATCGAGAGCCGGAAGTGAGCAGACAAAACTCGGAATACTTTCACGTACCCATTCTGTTCTCTGCTTTATTATCTTTTTATTGTTTGCGTGGAACAAACGAATTGGTCGAATCATACTCTGTCCGCGAAATGAATTATATTTGTTCATCATAAATATACATCAATAAACTTGATTCCATATAGTCGCAAATAGAACTTATATTCAATTGAGTTAAAAAAGAATGAGGTTCACAATTCAATTGCATTTTTTTAATGTTTACTTTTGGGTTTAGTCATAACTCCGTCTAATATAAACCGATTTTGAAAATTCTCCTTTTTTTACCTGAAAGGATATACAAAAACACAGAAATTTTATTAAAGTCAGTTCAATACTTCACTTTCGAAATCAAAATAAACTGGTTATATCACAATTGAAATCGTTTTTCTGTGGAAAACAATCTTAAATTGCATGTAGGGTAAAGTGGGAGAGAGGCTCTGCTTTTATCAGAGAGATTACAGATTAATCTTACGATTTCACAATACATCGTTATTTGCGTGTTATCTCCTATTTTTATTACAGTTATAAGCTTTCTTACATTAAATTAAATATACATCTTTATTATTTCAGGATGAATTCGTCGATGCACCAGAAGAGCAGCCTGCGTAAGTATATCTACTTTAAAATAAATATTTTCTCCTGTATCCACCTGACCATATTACTGTTGCCTTTTTTTGTAAAGTTAATTCCAGGGGGAAAATCATAGGGAAACCTCTGAAATTAACTTTACAATCAGTCAGTTTATTAAGTCACAAACCTTACCTACTTTCCTCAGATAATTTATCTGTATATCCTTTCTCTATATCCAATCTTAGTAGCAATTGAAGTATGAGTGAGTGTTTTTCCATGCGAGTGTGTGTGTGTGTGCGTGTGTGTGTGTGTATTATAATTTAATGCAATTATCTATGAAACTACTATTATCTAAGAAAGTTGTAAAGAGCATTGGCACTAATGCAGTAGAAATGCCGATTCAAACCTTACTCAGTTCGAATATATAGTGAGGAAACGATTTTTATTCTCAGTTGATATACGCCAAATATTAATAAGGGTGTTTTCTTATATGGTAAATTTCAAAAATAATTTTAGAATAGACATTGTAAAAAACGAACTTAAAACTAGTGATGCAATGAATACTGTATACGGCGAGTATAAGTATTTTTAGATAAATTCGTAATCAAAATTTAATACGTCTTAAATGTATATCTCAAGTGTAAATTAAACACATCTTAACTCTTACTTAAAAAACGTTATATATACAATGCTACCTTTTTAGGTAAGGACTAAAAGTCTGATTATGGAATCCAAATAAATGGATAATATTTAAGATGCTTTAATACGACTACGACCAAGAGTCTACCTGCTTGCATCGTCGCAGTATGAATTATAACAAATCATGACAGTAAAGAATAAAGCGTATGCAAAAACTTCCATGAAAATGTGAGAAAGACGAAAGTAATGGTTATTGAGAGGAAGGAAAGTTTAACAGCATATCAGATACGTGTATTAATTTTTAACGAGGGATGGAAAGTATGAGGGCGATATTGAGAGGAAAGCGAAAGTAGGAAACAGTGTCTACGGCCATAATTCAGGAAATACTGTCATCAACACTCATGTAGGAAAACGAATCGGGAGTATGACAGGAAAAGCATAAAATCGAGATAAATGCTATAGTGATGAGAGCTATGAGAAGTGCCGTAATCATTAATAGATAGAGTGAGAAGTAGTGTGTTTAAAGAGAAGTGTGCACCGAAAGAGGATGTAGTGACAAATATCGAAAATTCAATATTGTATTGGTTGGGCCATTTGGAGATAATGGTTGAAAGAAAAATTACGAAAGAGATACATCGAACAAGATTGGATGGAGATCTCGATAGAGACTGCATTAGATGGGCGTATGTCGACCAAATAGGCGACGTGCTGAAGAAGAGCCAAATAATTTAATATATGGAATCTGAAGTATTTGGCATTCCGTTGTTTCTGCCTACCCCAATAAGAGACAGTAATTACAGATATGTATATATATGAATGCAATGATAGTTGTTTGGATGGAAGGAAGGATGTTTTCGGTGATTGAGGTTGCACGTGAAAATAACTTTACTAAGGCTAAAAAAAATTTTATAAAGAAACACTTGGCAAACAAATTTTTAAAACTATTTGAAATTTTTGTTTTTTTATTAAAATTTGTATTTTGATGAATACAGGTGGATAAACGACTATACTTATAGATGTCGCTTAGTTATTTTTATAAGTGTTGTAAATACAGCATGCTCCGTATTAGAAAATATTCAGAATATCATGATTAATACTTATACTATATCTAAATATACAAAGTACAATGAATATTAATTTTATTTCTATCGTGATAACCAATTTTGTAATAAACGAATACTGTGAAATACTTCACCAACAGTATTTTAAAATGTTCGTTTATTATCTTTAATCACGGTTTTTGTTTCGGTTTAGCTAAATTTACCTCTTCACTGATTCGGTTTAATTTGCGTAGGTGCTCGATGGATTTATACACAGCTTTGGAGGAATGCGAAGTGGCGATAAGGAAATTTTTCAGCAATGATTTAGTTGGTGCCATGAATATAATGAAACCCTGGTACGTTAAATCTGATTCTATTTAAATTGCATGTTTTTACACAGACTATGAATCAATACTGATATGTACATAAATATAAATAATAATAAGTTTATATTTCACCTACTTTATTTATTTATGATAATGGAATACAGAGTGACTTTATAACTTATATAGAAGGGAAGGCCAGGAGGTTACGATCAACCCGCCACCGCGAAAGCGATAGTCCAAGATAGCCGTTTAAATAAGAAGAAAAAAATGGTTATTTCAAATGTACACAGCACGCGTCATGTACCCATATCCATATTACTTATACAAGACCAGCCTGAAAAATACATTTTTTTTTAATGTTTTTTTAGTGAAAAGGATTTACACTGATTTGTCCAGATAAAGTAAAATCTATTTATATAAATAACATACAGAACGTGTTCCCCTTTATTTATTTTTCCCCTTTTGAAATACACTACTTTGGAATAGATCACATAAAATATGTTTTTATTAAAGACATCACTTGTCAAGAGCTTGGCTACCCCTACCTTGTGGGTATAAGCTGCTTTATCGGTTAGATGTTATTGTATTCCTTATTTCTTACACACTTAGATATCTATCATGCTTGTTTGCAGTAGCAACTGTAGTATAAACATCAATAGTACTTAAGGATTAATGTGTTTACCTTTGATTAATCAAACGAAACACAATGCCCGTATCTCAATCATTGCGGAAACAGGTAAAACGCTTTGTGTCTACCTACGCGAGTCACGCAAAAGCCATTACCATAAAATTTTTCGTACGTATCCGTTTTTTTTTATATAAGTGATTTGTGACATATTATTTTATAATCGCCTGTTGTTCTCATTGTACAATACTATCCTATAAATTGATCTAGCTTGTGCTCCATCTATGTACCAAATTTCATTCTTTGTTCAACCGTTCCTTCGTTTAAACGTGATTGAACAGTTCGAAAAGTTGCTTGTTTGTTCCAAACATCTTTACGAACTTTCACATCCATAATACTTATAAGGTACCATTTAACTTGCAAATGAAATTATAACTAAGGACTTTCTGTTAAGGTTGAATATTCATATATTACAACTAGCATAGCAAAGCCGTGGAATACACTATATGAAGTATGCTATGTGTTCAGTTAAAATGAAGCCTTGCATGTACCAAATTTCATTCAAATCCCTCCTATCGTGATTAAGTATCAAACATACATATCTTCACATTTATAATGTTAGTGGGGTTTAAAACTTTTAGGAATATTTTACAATAATATGAAATTTGCATATAGGTATTTTACTTAAATTAAAGATTATTAGAAATATTTTCAGGAGTCAAACATCACTGTACCACAGTCTGGGCACTGCGATATTCGAATTTATTCCGGCAATGCTCACATTCGACCACAATCAGATTAACCGTGCTCTCGCCGCCCTCAAAGTTTGCATCTCAATATGCAACCAACAAAGGAGAAACTATACTCTTGTCGAGAGTATTGGCACTATTATCAAGAAGGTAGGTTGTTTATTGTCAATTTTAATAGAAACCTAAGAGAATGTAAATGATCAAACAATTAACGCGGCCATTAGACAGTCTGCTGATGGTTAATAATAGTCTATCAAAACAAATTGAAAAATAGATTAATTGATTGAATTAAATTTAAAGGTTTCTGTGAAAATTCCATTAAAACTTGTTTACTTTTTCCTTAAGTTCAATTGAAACAAATTACAGTATATGTTTTATATAAATAAAACTCAATTTCCGAATATCGTGCTTCTGAACTTCTGCACCTAATTGGCTAATTCTTTTTTGTAATTTTTATAATTTAATTTAACTTATCTGTAGGTCTCGTTTGGACAGTCCGTAACTTTGTCCTGACAAGATGTCAAAGAAAGTGTTTGAATAATCGTGCGGAAAAGTGAAAAACACATATATGAAGCCAAAGCAGGCATCTAGTTAATTATAAGGACACATATGTTATTACTACCTTTAGCGTTTCTATTAAAAAAAATAGTTAATGCTAAAGCAGATTGACAATTGTATAAAAAATAATTCAACATAATTAGGTAACCCAAAATTTAATTAAAAATGGCACTCAAATATTTTTTGTAGCGAAATATAATGTGGAGAAAGACTTATTTTCGGTTAAACATTGGTTTTTCGGGATCCATGTATGTTGATTGGACTTCTAATTACTATAATGATATTTTGTATTCAAAAATTTACATATTTACCCATTTTACCTTTTGAAAAAATTTTTTTCTTTATATCATTATATTATTAAAAATTTTACAGCCCGATTATGGCACGTATAGTGATATGGAAGCACACGCGGAACTGTGCTACGCTGAGGCCCTGCTCTTGCAAGCTGCTATGACCATAATGGAAGGCGAAGATCTCACAGGCCTCATAAAGGGCACGATCAAAGTCAAAAACTGTTACAACAGTTACAAGTAAGCAAGATCTTAAAATATCATTTTGTATTTATATGATATCTCGGACACTTCGTACAAAAACGCCACGATCCATGCTTATCACAACTACAGAAATAATTAACTGTCTGTACACGTGACAATGTGTGCGTCTTTAGTTACGATTAACGCGGGAAATAAGTCTTTGGGTGCTGGCGCGTATTAGAGAAGGGGTGAGGTCATGTCCTAGCGGGCGGCAGGGAGTATCTACACTGTACTTTAGTACTATTACTTGTATTATGCTTATACTTAAAGAAGAAGCAATGGTCCAGGTAACAAAGCTCGAAAAACCAACTATTAAATGGAAAGGATAGTTTTCGAATTGGAGGCTCATAAAGACAAACGTAGTGTAGAGTGACTCTTCATTAGATAGAACGACGACACCAAACATATTGTGAGAATTGAACAGATGCAAGTGGCTCAGAACTAATTCCGGTTAGTTTATTTGAGAGTTTATTTTGTTTAATCCCGCCACCATTATTATGCCTTCGACTATTAACATGTTTTACCAACGCGCACATACTTAAATGAATAAAACAAAAAAAAAAAAATTAAATTTATTTAAACTTTAATGCACAGTGAAACTATGTACATCGGACGGTGATCTCTACCAAACCTCTCTACCTGGGCAAACCGAAAAATAAGCAGGCGGTGCATTATTGAATTGATGGAATATAAAAATTAATACTTATAATAATAAATTAATTCATATATTATAAACATTTAATTAGACTAATATAAACGTACATATAATACATTAAATAAATATATATATATACATAAATATTACTATAACAAAAAACTATATTAAAAGAGCAAATGAAACAAACTATAACTCAAAGTAATCAGCAAGATTAAGTATAAAAAGTGAGAAAAAAAATCTAAACAAGTAACCAATTATATAGACTTTCAATGAATAATGTCTACAATAATATAGGAAATCAATTATCAAGACTATTCCTTTTAGCTGTTTATGATATCTGCAATGGAAATAAATGACTATAACTGAAATAATAATATCTATACCACTATTTCTTAAGCTCTAAGACACAGTGGATTTTATTAATATTTTTATGTTTTTTATAACAGGGACTGCTCCAAAATATTGGAGAAGAAGCAATGGGCCAATGAAGAAGCAAAAGTACACTTTCAAAGTGGAGTAAGGCTGGGTACGGCCACATTTAACGTAATGATCTCATTGTTGCCACCAAAAATTATCAGCTTGCTGGAGTTCGTTGGCTTCTCAGGCAATAAGGTTGGTTTTTGAATGAACACAAATATTACAATACAAAGTACACAAATATATAAAATTCTAATGTTACCTGTAGCAATACTTTTATCCTATAGTAATTTTTATCTATTATACAATAATCGAAACACGTATCAACATAATAACGTAATTATGTAATAGCTCAGATCAATACTTTCACCGCTCCTTTACATCAACAGAATGTCGTGAGTCGATTATAGGAACGACACGTAATATAGCAGAGATGGAAAATTCCAAAAAAATCCTAAACAGCATGTATTATGTAATTTTAACATCAAATTTCTGTTTCGTTCGTCCCCGAAATTTGGGAAAAGACTTCATGGTAGGCCTTCTGCTTCATCTTATCATCTCTCACTGGTGCCCCGCCAATGTATACCAATAGTGTAGGCGGGGTACCATTCAATTATCATCAATTAAAAAAAAACATATGCGCCTCTTTTAAAGAGCCTCCCTGCGAAATAATGCGCCATATACACAATAGAAGATAAGATCATGTCTATTTTCAGTTATTTACTTCATACATCGCACAATATTACAGGTTCACGGGTTGGCGGAGTTGGAGGCAGGGTCACGGTCGCCCGGTATACGCTCCATTCTATGCGACCTCACGTTGCTCGCGTACCATCTAGTTATATGTCACTTCATTGGTGCGGTCGGTGATCTACACGTATGCGAGGAAATTCTAGAAAAGGAGCTTATGGTGCGTACCTCAAGGGAGATGTTCATTAATTTATTTTAGTTCTTTTTTTTTATATACATCTTAGAATGGCAAAAAAGCTGACGGCCCACCTGATGAAAAGTGGTAACCGTCGCCTATAAACATGATCAGTACCATGAATATAACAGCGTATACTGTTTCACCCATGACACCCTCCATGCATTGCTATTCCACCATATCCCACCCTTCAAACCGAAACACAGCCATGCAAACACGACTGCTTTACGGTTGAAACACGAATGGGACAGAGGTACCCAAGCAAACGACTTTTGTACAAAGTCTCCCTCTATAATATATACCTTATTCAATGAATCTCAAGTAATTCTACATGTATATCTTACTCGTCATATCTCGTAGCTTTGGCTTCATGAATCGAGATTAAAATTATTCTTTAGATACTTGTTTTACCTGTGGCTTTGTCTGCGTGACATATCAATTGACCCCTATAAGTCTCTATTAAATGTCATGTTAAATGATTTAGCTGTTATGGCATCAAAAGTTAACAGAAACAGACTCAATTTTATATTTATAATGTGGGTGTTAGTCTAAGATCATTTCATGTTCATTCATTCATTCATTTAACGAAATATATGAGTGCTTGTACATGACTCTACATGTAATTATTATCCTTACAAACTACTATGTGGCACCATCGTCGCCAGTCCAATACACCAGAATACAAAATTTGTAAATATTATATTTTTTTAATAGGTATACCCGGACAGCATGTGGTTCTTAATATTCAAAGGTCGATTGGAATTACTTAAAGGCATGTTTCGACCCGCTATCGATACGTACAATCGTGCCATCGTCAGCCAAGACACCTGGAGGCAGTTCCGGCACATGTGCTACTGGGAGATCATGTGGGTCAATGGGTAAGTCATCGCACATGTTGAGTTTATTCATTTAAGTACATTGTACTATGTCACGTGAAGCAAAACGATGGTAGCTACCTAAGTGGATAGAAAGAATATTTAGCTTATCATAGAAAGTAAGGGTGCAACTTTTATGCTCTGTGCGTTATAGCGTTTTTGATAATTTATAAGTAAATAATGGTTTTGAGGACCATCCTTAACCGATAGTTTTAAGTATTGAACCCGAATTCAATGTAATATAAAAGTCTTTATACCAGTATCTCTACTTTGATCATTTAAATGTTACGACAATTGTTTTTACCAAAATAAAGGTCACTAACACAATATATTTAGTGAATAGATATATATTGATGAAATGATATGTGAAATGATTATATTTTTAGGTTAATGGCCCAATGGCGCGAGGCAGCGGTGTACGCGGACAAACTTATAGAAGAAAGCTCATGGTCAAAGACTATATACTCATACACGAAAGCTTCCATGTTGCTTCAACTTGGAGAACGAATGACAAGTTCTGAGCGACTACAGTGCAGTGATCTCCTACGGTATATAATCACATTACTTTAACTGTATTTTATATGTGTGCTTATATCGCTGTGAGTGCCCCGGCATAGAATGGGCCACCCCTTCCTTTACCGTGGGTGTCGTAAGAGGCGTAAGGAGGGCGAGAGATGGGCAGCAGCGTCCTTCCTAAAACATCTCTAAAAGCCTAATTGCGGTTGCCGACCCGCCTGCCAAGCGTGCCAACTACTGGCCAAACTCCTCTTATGGGAAAGCCTTATGTTCAATAGTGGACATATATATATATATATATATATATATATAACATGCGTTCTAATCAAGTAACGAGCAATTACTTGTTTATGTTAATTCCGCTACCGTTAGTATACGTGCAACTGCCAGTACTCGAATATTGACTTCTATTATTATTACCAGAAGTTTTACAACTTTCCATATTAGTCGTCAGTTTCCGAATGCTATTCCCTTCATGCATGTTGCCGTCACGTGTTTCACCTCTATACGAGACATCTTCAGACAATAGATCGCTGCTCGGAACCTAGTGTTAGCCGTTTAGCACCTAAACTGCGAATGACTCATTTTCGACCGCATTGCCGTATTTATACCCTTTTAGTAAAGGAAGGAGTAAAGGGTATTATCTTGCAATGTTTTATGTACTTGTTTTTATTTTTTTCTTAACATTTTATTACTGTGTTACTAACCTGGATCTACAAATTATTATAAAAATATATATGACTTCATTTTGTTTTTTAAAAGCTTGTTTTGGCAAAGCTTCATTATACGCCTGATGCAGCAGGTGTCCATAAGCTATGGCAACTGTTTACTGTTCGACATATCATATGGTTGTTCACCGCCATTGTAATATAAAAATATACGAGATCAATCCTAACTCAGCAACAAAACTTGTTTGACATTTTAAAACACAGTCTTGCAATGAGTGTAATCCCTCTTAGTAATATTTAATTATGGTGTTCTGAATACAGGAACGCGTCTTACTACAAACAACGCATTGCCGGAAAGTCGCTACCGATGGAGAAATTCATGATTCGGCGCTGCGCTCGCTATCAGGCCCAAGGCGGTCAAATAATACTGCCTGCTATAGAGCTACTCTGTCTCTGGAACATGTTCCACATACTCGCCAAGAATAAACAAGGAGCGCAGAACATCCTAAAGGTAATGTATACATTAAAACCCGCTTCAATTATAATAATATATGTACAAAACTAATACGGCAATAAACTTCAACCCAAGGTATCAAAAAAATAGCTGTGATCAGAAATTCTTTTTTTAAATTGGTCAAGAAGACACTGGATATTTGTTCATAGATATACCTTTTGGTGACAGGCAATAGCAGTGTAGTCATATGTACTCGTAGTGTAGACCTCAAATTACCCAGGAAATAGATTGATGCTATTTCAAATTTAATAGGAAGATGTCCATGATGTAGTGGCAGGCACGTTGCTTTAGGATAAGGACCCCAGGTTCGATTTTCTATGTTGCCTATTTAAGAAACGAACCTTTTTAAATTGGCTCGAGTCTGAGTGTACTGGGTTGTGCCCTAGACGTTCGCTGCCTGGTTCCTAATAACACAGACTATCCTAGTTTGAGGGCAAGGCGGTGTTTGGTGTGACTGTGAGAATCTTGTTATTAGTATAATTTGGTTCATCACCCAGGAGTGCTAGAGACAATCCATCTGGGAGAACCGAATGGTAATGTAAGCGCGCGTCGTCACCCGGTTACGTTTAATATCCTGCCAATCAGAACTAACCTACTTCAGTACGCTCCCTTAACTTGTGCAGTACTTATATCAAATAAAATTATAAGCATCATTGATGTTTTTAGTAGTAGCTCGCCAAAGATTAGAAGATTAGAAACTGCTAAGAAATATCTGGAGTTGGGTTAAATACCATTAATATAATTTTGTATGTAAGCAACATTGATTTGGTTTTTACTATCATAATGTTATAATTATTTTAATGATGATAAATAAATTTGCAACCTAATTTTGTAGTTGATAGAAACGACGCGAGATCGCCTAGAAAGCGGACCACAAGAGTGGATGGCTGGTTACGACGCTGACAACCGGGCACTGCTGCGCTACTTGCACGGATGTTGCCTGTCTGCTATGAATCTGCCACGGCTGGCTCTTGAGACTCTACAATCAGTTTTCCTGTATAATTTTTTTCTATACAATGCACAATAATTTCTATGGAAATTACAGTTTATATTGATAATAATTTACAATTCTCCAAAAATGTTGAGTTGATAAATTAATAATGATAACAGAAGGTCTACCATGATATATTTTTCGAAATTTCGGGGCCAAACGAAACACAAATTTGATTTTTAAAGTACATAATATGTACATACTATCTAAAAACATTAAAAATGTTAAAATATAGTTTGTTTGGACTATTAAGAAAGGTGTTATGACGAACTAGATGTTAAGCTGCATTTGCTGAGCCGATTTTGGTACGAACAAAAATATGAAATTGAGGCCGAAAATCCGGAATTTCATTTCGTGGACCCTCCATAGACCCCCTGAATATTAAAAACCTTAATTTATCTTCAAAATGTATGCATATTATTATATATTCAAATAGTCGATTCTAAAGCAACATTCTGTGTGTGTAAAATTTCAATTATATTTTACAATGAAATGATTATTCTAAAAACAATGTAAACTATTTTTTTTTTATTGTATTGCTTTTTCAATGGTCCCTGTACTTTAATAGTTTTGCTAAAGTATCAATATGCAGTTGTTATTTTAGACATAAGTTTAAACCTCATTCTCTTTATTTTGTGCTTATCTTCTTATTTGCCTAAAACTGTAATAATACTTCATAAACTACTCCAAGATAGGTAATGGCTGAAATGACGATGATGACTACTCCAACTGTTGTGAGCCAGGTAGGAAACAAATTGAAATATACATATGACAACAATATGAAAATGTATTGGATTTGGATTTTTTTTTTTTATTCCCTTTTGGTATACATTTCTAGATGTACAAACTCAATTAATATAATATGCATAAATAATATGTTTACACAGATTAAAGAATGACATCAAAGAAGATACTTTCCTGCTACCATACTCTGTGGCCGAGATGGCTATGTGTCACTACCACCTCGGAGATAAAGATCGAGCGATTCAAATGTTACAGGATGCCAGGTGAGTTGAGTAACCTATATATTATTATTATTTATTAATTATCATTCTTGTTATTGTAATACTTTATAAGAAATGTTACATTACTCTCAGGCCGTGTAATAAGCTCCCTGCCGAGGCTCTCCTAGATTTATAGACTATAGTATGGGGTTCTTCAAAAAGGGGCGTATTATGGTTTCTTAAGGGTTGGCAACGTCCGCGTAACATCTCTGGTGTTATAGGTTACAGTGACCGTTTACCATCAGACAGGCTGTATGCTTCTTTGCCACCTTCCTAATACAAAACAATGGATCTTTGCTTAGTGAAATTTATTTCTTACCATGTACTATATTTTAAAAAGCGACTTAGCCTATAAACTAGTTTTTGTTCAAATTTATTGTTTGTATTATTATATTTCTTGATAGAACTTTATCATGAAGTAACGACATCTTATTATACAGGGCAAAATTGAAATCGTTAGCGACATGCAAAACTAAAGTGCTATAAGACATATTAGGATAGAAGTTTTGTGAATTCAAAAATTAAAAAGTACAAAAAAATTTTGAATTTCTCATATTAACTTAACTGTTGTACGCGACGTGTAAGTATGAGAGACTCAAATTTTTTTATCGTTTTTCGACCATGTTGTAAAGAATATTAACGATTTCTATTTCACTCTGTATTTATATATTAGTAAAATTATAACTTTTTAAATAATATCAATTGATTGATTTGATACTTTTTGTTCAATAAAAGTTATTCATTGCAGGAAAAAATACTCTGGGTATTCCTTAGAATCGAGGCTACACTTTCGTTTGCACTCAAAGATGCAGATCGTTAAGGAAGTGAATACACGGGGCGAATCTAGTAAATCAGTCACCAAATTATGAGATAGCTGCTAAGTCATATTTTTTTTATTAAATGCCAAATTGGTTTATTGTATGTACCTGGCGCTTGTAGCGGATAAATGGAATATTTGATCTTCACAATGGCTATATGTTGCACATTCTCATATTTATCAATAACACTACAGTGTTACATCATATACCTCTAGATAAAGTGTTCTTGTGTGCCGGAATAGGGAATCCGGAATGTACAAGATAAAAAATGTCCCACTACTATATTATTAAAGAACTGTCTCGAGATACATGATTTAGACCGTAATGTTTACTTGACGTGAATATATATGGTATAACTATAAAATCAGTATGTAATACATTATGGTTAAAATGTAGTGCAAACGTCAAGAGATAACGTTTATATTAATGTTATTCTTATTTAAAAGATAACATAATCGTAAAATGTTACAATGATTCAATAAAAATTGGTTAATGTATTAATGTAATGTTTAAATGTAATAGTAGTTGATTGTTGTACTCATTCATTATAGCCAAGATAATGCCTGTTTCTAATATTTGTGACCATACCTGTCTAGTTTATGGTCTTTCATATGCTATGTTTAATATACAACTAGTGACTCGTCCCGGCTACGCGCGGTTTTTTTTTAAAACTCGTTGATTATGTATGTAGCCTTCTATAAATGAAAGTAAATATTTTTTGAGCTTCTTTAATTCCGAACAACAAATATTTTAGAAATAACACGACAATTTCCTGGGGTAACCACGTGGTGGTCGACTTCACAGGGCGTGTTGCTAGCAGTAGGACTTCTAATCCCCATTACTAACAATCTATTCTCCCGCTACAACTATACTCAGAAGCTATTTAGCTTCACAGTACTACCATTAAGTACTGACTTGACTGTAAGAGAAATAATTAGATTTTCTTACTAATAGACGAGCAGGGACTAAGAGCATTGTAGTATATATAATTTATAAATTACCAAAGTCAAGATATCATGTTACTCGACGCTTCGTCTCGACAAAAATGTTTTTTTTTTTTTTGGAATCTTGTTATTACGTTTAAAAATCTGAACCTCTCTTTTTTAATACAATTATTGCAGTGTAGATTTTTACAGGTACTTAACACTAGAGAAATTATATGACAAAATGTCTTTGACTATACTGATTTCATTGTGGTAATATATTAGTTGTTCCTTTGTGATTTTATAGTATATTATTATTGGTTTATTATCTCTAGGTAATAGGAATGGAGAAATCGTAAAATAGCGAATTGTTTTTGTATATTTTTATCATACTCCACATTTTAATCACAATTATAATTTAAAAATAGCAGAAAATCTAAATCTAAACCTGTAACAAATAAATAATGTCTAAAATAAATTAATGAAATAGATTTTACATCTACATTTCTAATATCAATTATTTCAAATTGGTTCTTTGCACCATATTATATGTTTTGTCTGATTTAACCACAGACATGGATCCAAATAGTTATCGCGACTGCGTGTACATTTATATAGATTCAAATGAGCCTATGGACTCCGGTTAAATTTAGATTCGGAGTTTTCTACAATATATTTATATCCAAAACCTAAGATTGGAATATAACATTACATGAGGTAGTTCTGAAAGTATACGTTACAGTAAAGGGGTTTGATATAAATAAATAGCTTTGGTGGCAACAAGTAAAATAGGTTAATAATAATACGCTTAGTTTAATTTCCATCTATTTCTGTGGTTTCAGCGCATATTGATGTTTACATATAATATTCCTATTTTTAGTAAGGTGACGGTTAACTAGGTAGAATTGTTTCCCCATTTTGCAATAGTTTCCCTCTCTGTAATGAGTAAAGAACGGATACCGAAAAATATATGCTAATCTACAAAGTGATGATCACAAATAGTTTATGTTCATTTAATTTACCGTACATTTTGCAATTCTTAGTACAAATATACAAAGCATATCTTTTTTTTTTATTTACAGTAAATTATTGATACCAACTCGTTACAAATAACATTAGACAGTAGAAAAGTTACTATAATGGCATTGCAAAATTCTTTTTTTTTTTTAAATTACTCATTATTTTGAAAGAAATATTAAATAGTTCACATGTTTGTGTTTTAAAATTTAATAAATTATTCTTAACCAAATAAAAGTTTTTTGTATGCATAATGTTTTAATATTGAATTATTTATAATTTTAGATTATTGCATGCAGTATATTTGTTTAGGTTATAGTTTTGTTTTTAATTTTTCCGTTACATAAGTAAATTTTTTTATTACATAATTTTTTATACACATAATGTGAACAGTTGTAGTAGTTATAAAATAATGATATCATTCCGGATAAATATTAATATTTGTCAAAGACGAAAAATTTTATAAAGATATATTTTGTTACGTATAGGTAGACGATAAAAAAAATTTATATTATTGCCAAAATTTAGTCAAACTAAAATTTTGATGTTGAAGAGTGTTTCTTCAATATTTTAAAAATATAAAATTTATATATCCTTGCGTTATAGCTTGTGGCATAGTGATAGCACACACATCACAAAAATTATACAAAATTGTATATTGTTTAAAACAAATCCATGTTTTTTAATTAGTTACGTGAGAAAATGTTAATTATGATTTATAAACTTTCTAAATATCTCTCATATTACAGAATAAAAATAATAGTTCGTATTAGAACACGTGCTTACTACGTGCAGAATGTAATAACAAATTTTTATGTTATTATATTATTCTTGTAAATAAAAGAGGCTTTGAATAATTTATTTACATAGATAAGTACTTAAATAGAAATACATAACTCGTGGATTTCTCAAATTTTGATAGATACGCTCACATTCGTATTCAGTTACATATTGTAAATGTTCATGGTATACATAACATATGCATAGAAAAAAAAAGCTTCATTATACAATTGAAGACGAAATGCGAAATATATGTGTGAAATTATAATATACCTTTATAAAGTTTCTGTTTCTCTTTTTCACATATCTAAAATCCCTAATAAAAATATATAAATAAAAGCAATAAACTTTATTCAAAGAACGGTTATTTCTGCTGTCGTACGTATAAATTAACTAATATAAAATTTGGACTAGTCCTTTCTAATGGGGAGGCCCACTTTACGAGTGAACAGAACTATTTTTAACATTTCGTATGGTTGTAATCTCGCCCGATACGTTATCACTGCCGCGTGCATGAGATAAAACAAGACAGCAACGTCCGTAGTCTTGTCCCCTCTCATGCGTTCACTGACGATAACTCAGGGGCTATAAATTTACTTTTTCTATTAATATTATGAAATAAACTTTCTTCCGATTGGTACTTGTGTTCTAAAGAATTGATTACTACATGTTTAATTTGTCTTCTAAAATTTTAACGTTAAAAATAAAAACAAAAATGTGATAATAGATACGCTAACATCAAATCATAAACATAGATGTTAGTTAATATAAGTGGTAGCCCAATTTGCCATTAAATTATAAATTTATACAATTTTTTTATAATTAATTTAGTAATGTTATGAAATTGGCTGTTTATGAGGAGGAAAATAAATGTTTACGAGTAATTGCATACCTAAGAGACTAACTAAAATGAATATAGAGTTTAATTAATATAAAAATATAAATCTTGTAAACGTGATAATTTTGATTGTTAACAAAATTAATAGCATAGTCATTATTTACCACATAATACACTTATTTCATTTAAAAAAACTGCACTCGTTTTTTTTAAGAGACAATAGAAGACACCAAGACATTATTTTCATACAAAATATATATATTTTTATTTCTATAAATGCAACTACAATAAAGATATACTTGATGTGTAGGTGTTCAATGTCTAATATGTGTTTACTGTAAAATGGAATCGAAATTATTTTTCAACAGAGTGTTCTACCACTAACTGAACATTATTCTAAAGGAAGGTTTATGAATTTCATAGAGGAAATTACTTCAAATATTCTTATTTCATATGAATGAACTCGTCCAGCTGTCGAGTTTATTCATTTATTCAGTATAAAAGTATTTCTACTCGCTCTCTAGGAAAACGTTCAGTTTCATTGGTGCAAAAAGATGTGATTAGTGAAAATGTTTTGAATTTACCTATGTATGTTTAAAATTTAAGTGTTGTAAATGCTTTAATTGGTAGCGAAATCGGAAATCAGACCAAATATGGATGTATTTTAATTAGGGAAATTTTCATTATTTTGTATTTAAATTATTATTATTGTATTGATAATCGATTCGTTCATAAGAAGTGTTGTCACAAATTGTACTGTAATCGTTCTATGAAATACGATATATATTATTTTTTATATTTATATCTTTTTTTATTAAAGTTATTTGGTTTACAGTTTTAGTTTCCAATAGGAACTGGACAATCTGACGAAGTATCTACAGTTAGGTTTTAAATATAAGACTTTCTGGTGACGAGAGCTGTTTAACGTTTGTTCTCTACAATTCATGGCGTTGTCACAGTAGATACAAGTATTTAGTAATGGGTATGGTAGGTGTATACATATACTTCATTATTCGTGTGTTGGGTTTGCATTGTTAATGTACTATTTTTGTAACTAAATGGCAGATGTTGAATAAAAAATTATAATCCAAAATGCTGTTTTTCTTTTAATACATTTTATAAATCCATTTCTTAACAGGTACCTCTTTAAAGCTTGCGCAGACAACAAACTTGTCTTCGGTAGACACAAATCGCCACACACGTGTATGTTTTTTTTAGTTATACTTTTACTAATCTTACTAATATAGAATAAAACTATAATTAAACGACATTTGTATATGGGAAATATTAACAAAAAAATATATTTTAGGGGTTTCAATATGAGCAATAAAAGATAAAGGTCAATTTTTTTTAAATTTTGTCTATCGATTTGTATATATATTTGGATGCGATTTTCACAATTTTATTCCAAAAGCTCTAATCTAAATCTGGTATATATTTAATATTAATCCGGTATCTAAAAGGAATCTATTTCTTTTCTTTCATCTGAAATCCACACATACGAAATAACGGGCAAAAGTTAGAGTATATTATTTTTAAACACACTGCTTCATTACTGTAGCATTGAACACACTATTTCACCGCCTGACGGTTACGGGTTCAAATACCATACAAAACAAACAAATATATTCATGTGCAATGTATACGTCTGTTATATTAGTCTATCCATTTTCTGTTTTTCATGTAAGCTATTCAACAGGAGAAACGATAATTGTGACAAAGCTATCCAAGTAGTTAATTTTGCAGTCTCCCTACTTGTCCGAGTTTTCCATACAGAATCCATTAACCTTAGAAGGTACAGACAGAGATATCTATATTAAACTACTTTGATACAAAAGATTTATAATAGTAACCCTTCCCAAAACACAATAAGTTATCAGCCGTCTCACCAACTAAATAAATTCGATGTGCTAACATTTTATATTAGCTGTATGCCGCGGCTTCACCTGCGTGAATCATTACACAAACTATTCTACGTAAGTTAGTATATAACCTATTCATGTACAATGTATATTTAGAGGGGAAAGGGATTGTTAGCAATGGAGTTTGACAGCCCCATTGCTAGCGATATGCCTTATGACCTCCACGTGGTTCCCCCTGGAAACCATCGTGAACAATTTTTGTTGAATTCGTCACGATGGGCTAACTGACCTACTTCATCCTCATCTATCATCCTTCACTGGTGCCCCGCCGGTGTATACCGATAGCGCGGGTGGGGTTACCATTCCATTATCATCCATTAAAAAAAATGTATATGTAAATGTCATTAAAATTTTTTCAGTATTTACGTGAAAGAGAAACAAACATCCATCGAACTAGCATCTTCACAAATTTCCGCATTTATAACACGTAGCAGTAGCATAATAAGCTTGAATTTAAATTACGATTCTATAGAACCGAATGTATGGTCGAAAATTGAGATGAAAGGTTTCTATGCATTTACGGCAAATAAGTACTTATTCAAATTTATGTCTGTGCTTTACAGATGCACTTAGTTTTAAATCTGATAATAAGGTTCCTACTAGATACCTTACAAATGTTGAATGCAAAACCATGGCCACAGAGAAATGAAAACACATTAGAATTTAAAATTCGAATTTTTCTTATGTCAAATACATTAGTAGACAAAAGAAATTCTATAGGTCAGACTATTGGTGTTTGTTACTATCGTAATTGTGGATTAATAGAATTTTAAAGTGTTTCTCGAATATGAGTGAACAGCTAAAAACTGTTTCTGCTATGAACAAGCTATACATAGGCAACCTCCCTATCGAAGCTGACGAAGCAGCTGTCAGGCAGCTGTTCGCCGAACAAAACCTCACGGTAGCCGACATTTCGGTAAAGAGAGGCGGTTATGCATTCGTCGATTTTCCTGACCAGTCGGCGGCAGACAGGGCTATCGACAAACTTCATGGTAAGTAAATGAAATTCAGTTAATAATTAAGCTAAGCATTGAAATAGGCCACAGCATCGGGCTCTGCCTATTCCAAAAAAGACTACTTTGAAGATATATAAATGCCTAAAGTCAAATTTACTTTGTGAAGCTTGTTTCGTAGTAATATAAATTTACTTAAAAGTATTGATGATTTTTTAGTAGAAACTATAATATCGCTAAGACCAGGGCATTATTAAAGCTATTCCGACACTTTACACTGTTTTTTTGTTCTACAATAAACTATAATGTCTTCGTCATTCTTGACAAATTTGGGACCAACATGAGAGTAGATCTTATCAATTGAAAAAAATATCAAAGTTGCTTCAGAATTGGCGAAAAAACTCCCATTTTTACCTACGTGAAATGGTTGATAAATGTCGTGAATTTTGTTATATGCCACAAGTTTTACAATTTAAATCGGTCCTTACGATTTAAAACATGCTAACCAAATTTATAAAAACAAATCAGTAAATAATAGGAATGATTTTGTAAGCAGTTTTGACTTATAGAACAATGCAACACGAGTCAGAATCAGAAAATTTTAAAATCGTTTTGTAATAATGTTTGTAAATAAATGCTAGAAAAGTATTTCTAGAAATATGTTTATAAACAGCCGACCTAATAAACGCAGATGCTGCTTTCGTTACCGCACGCATGAAAGGGAAAAAAGATATCCGGTCTCGTTCTCTCTCATAATATCATCATAATGAATCAAATATCCTCTATAACCGTAATGAGACAAAATCAGATGTAATAAAAGATATGTTTTTCATATTTGGATTTCATATTCTTTACCATCCCATGTTGCATAAGAAAATATCTATTCATAATTCGTTTGCCACTTCTTTTTGGTTTGCAATTGACCCTTCCTTAATTAGTGTTGGTTTGCATAAACTAATAGGGGTTTTGAGAATTCCTGCGGGATTACGTTTACTAACGATATTATACTAATATTATAAACTAATATTTGTGCGCAATAATCCTATTAATGGTAATACATGCGGAAAATTGTAACGATGGATGGATGGATGTTTGTTACTCTTTCACGCAAAAACTACTGAACGAATTTAAATTAGATTTGATTCACGGGTAAGTTATATCCTAACTTAACACATAAGATATTTTATAAACAATTTCACGCGGGCGGAGCGAAGTATAATAAGGTAATATTTATTTAGTTTTATATAGTTACATACAGATGTATGAAACATATGGCATAATATTTGGAATTGAACATTCACTTTTTAACGTAACGTTTACCTAATCTCAATTGTATACTTTCAATAGGACAGCAGCGGTCGGTAGAATCGCTGTAGATACCTATATTATGTGGTTAGCACATGTTTAAAGCCCTTTGTTCAAAATCGAAAAAGAATAGTATGCAGTGAAAATGCGGCTACAGTTGGACAACCTTGAAGAAAACCGTCATTTGTAAAGACTATTATATTTAGAGTTCGGTATATTTCCAATAATTATTGCACCAGTATTAAAAATAGTGCTGCATGGTGTTACAAAAGTTAATACTAATATTCGAAATAGTGCTTGAGGTTGTTGCAGAAGTTAATTTGTCTTATGAACATTCAAATATTCACTTGCTATTTACGATAACACATAAAACAAGGATTTTGTTAAAATTCATGAAAACAATACCTAGATCTTTGATATTTAATTTACAAAAGAGAATATAATTAATTTGAAATAAGTAAAACTGAATTATTTATTACATAAAAGAAATAATTATAAAATATTAACTGGAGTTCATCTCTGACTTCGTAAAAGTCGTGCGTTATTGTGGTATCAACAGATACTTAATCCCTCAGCAGGTACAAGGGTGCTTTTTAATTGTTTACACAATTTCAGGTAACGTATAATACAATACCAATTGTAGGACCTATCCGGGTTGCCCATGTAAACTGAATAAAAAAAATTATTACAAGACAGGCTGGAGACGAATTAAACACACGAATAATGTTCTACCTCTAGAACATTAAATAAAAAAAAAATAATAGTCACAAATATATTAAGTAAAAAAAAAAAAAAATCGCCAGTCATATTCAATGTCATAATCCAATTACCTTTACTTTTTATTAACTTTTACTCGCAACGTCGTCCGCGTAAAAGGAATATGTTTACTGGCCAAGATAAAAGGTAGCCTATATTCTCCATCTCACATAGTACATGTATACTAAATTTCATAGTAATTGATTAAACTGTTAATGTACTATAAGGTAACAAACAAACTCATTTATATTATTAGTAAGAACCTGTCATAAATTTCTACCTACATTTACATACATTTCTGCCATACCTGTTTTCCATTAGAGTAGGCAGAAACAATTTATTTCTCTTTAAAAGAATATATATCTTTATTATTTATCGTATACAACAAGGGTGACCGACTTGACTAGACCCAAGATCTACTGTTTACTGACGAAACCCTGTATGATCTGCCAATTACATATTGCTTGAAATCACAAATGAAATAACATAGTTCAGTAAACAATTATATTATATTGTAGTAGGTATTTTTTTATTTTGTTAACAGGGAAAATATACAACTGAAAATTATTTTTAGTAACTACTTATTTATATTAGTATGAGCATTGCGACTGAGCATCTACCGCTAGATTAGCAAAATATTATATTTTTTGCCTTGCCAAGATCGACTGGACTAATAGTTGCGATCGACCCCAGGTATACAATATACCTAACTCTCTACCAAAGTCGCGTTCATTGTGATTGGGCAAGTTAGCTTTTTAATATCATCTCATTGGTACGTACCCATGTAAAATACCATTTTTTTATTTTTTATTTTTATCTCATTTAATGTAATCAATAATTATTTTCTGTCCATATCAGCTTTCAATCTTATCTTTTTCATCATGATGACTATTTTTAGTTGTTCATACCAATTGTGGTCAGAGCACATACGCCACAATGTCACGTACTTTCTGTAAAGTGCTTGAATGCACTCTTCAAGTATCGATAATCATAACCTTGTACATTTTTCTATGCATCTTATAATCGCCAAGTAATGACTCATACAAGACAATGCATCTCATATTTTGTTTTAATACATATGTAAAGTATTCCATGTACTCAACCGATGCGATTATCTAGAATGTAATTTGATAAATCGTCGACGTTCCGGACTTTATAAGACCTGAAGACTGGCCCTTATCTAGCCCAGATTTCAAATTTAGACTTCAAATTATGGTCAGTTTTAGAGGACATGGCCTGCTCTAAAGGACACGGCGACATTAAGTCTCTTAAATAATCTTTAGAGCAAGCAGTGGCGAAATTTCCCTTGGAAACAGTGCGTAAATCCACAGATTCGTGGCCAGACAGATTAAAGGGCTGTATAAAGACCAAAAGTGCCCAATTCGAATAGAATATTTTTTTATTTTTTCTGAGTCTTTAATAAATATGTAAATTATATAAATTTATATATATATATATATATATATATATATATATATATATATATAAATTTTATTATTTCATATATATTTCATATTATATTACTTCATAAAAAAAAATATTTGTAACAGAATTTATGACTGAACTAGGTAAATTTTTATTTATTATTATGATTACCGTAGTAGTAAGTACATGTCCGAAGTTCGCTCTGTCTCTAAATGTACCGATTTAAACTTACTTAAGCTCGTTGCCGTGTATAATAACTGTTTATAGTTATTATGGTTGATGATTATTTCTAATAAACAAGATTGATAAGTGGAAAGATCGGAACAATAGGGTTCTAACGGCATTTTGTGAAACAATTTGGTACTTTTTAATTTTTCGATCCTGCTATTCCTGCTATTTACTATACTGACTGTTACCATCCCACGAAGATTTTGTTTGTATTTGACAGTTTTCTATTATCTACAATAGTTTTTGTAAAAAATTAAAGCTCACAAGGACACGTTTTGGAGTAAAAAGGGAAAATGGAGGGGGTGGAGAGGACGGTACCGGGCAGAATCGTATTCAGTACAATCGAATTACCCTAAAAAGTACAGGTGCCAAAAAATTTTCACGAAATACCATTAAACATAAAAAGAGAGAAAAGACTTTTCCACTAGTCTAAAATGTAAACCTTTAAGTAAAAGAAATACATTTTCATATTCTTCCTTCACAACTAACATACAAAATAGACATTTCTCAATTACGTTATACACTGAATTTATATACAATATTTATATGTCGATAATAATACAATAATACAGATATGGAAACTTTATGCCATAACATTATATACTTATTATCTGAGTACAATTTATTATATTGTTAATTACCTAGATTTTTAAAAGAATACATGAAAAATTAAAGTGGAATAAAATAAAATACAATTTAAGTAAATATTCATCATCATATCAGCTTTTAACTATCCACTGCTGAACATAAGCCTCCCACTAGAAGGATTTTGCCAATAGTTGCTACGCTTGACAGGCAGATTGGCAACCTCAGTTAGGCTTTGAATATGTTTAAGAAAAACACTGATGCCCATCCCTTGCCCTCCCTTTGTCGCCTCTTACGACACCCACCGGAAAGCAAAGGGTGGCCTATTCTATACCAGGGTACATACGGGAAGTAAATATTAATAATAACTAACTAAAACAGATATTTTTGTTTTAATAAGTCTTTATGTAATTGTCGGTATACTCACTAACACTTCCATAAAATAAAAACTTGCCGCAATTATCAGTCAGCTATTTCTTGGCGCATCTAGGTTATTTGGCAAATTTTACAATTTTTGAATGCTAGTGTGACAACCATATGAATATCTTCCTTTATTATCTCTGGTATTAGTCGCTAAGAGATAAGATTTTTTTAGTAGATGATAATGAAATGGTTATTCCTCCTGGGCTAATGGTATTCGCTGGCAGGGCACCTGTAAAGATGATAGATGAAAAAAAGAATGCGTCACCATAGTTCCTCCTGGGGAGACTACGAGGATGTTAACGTAATAAGGTATATTGCTAGCAATGGGACTGGACTACCATTACTAACAATTCCTTCCGCCCCAAGATAAGATTTTATCTCTCTAAAGAATATTTCTTCTGCAATTAATTGGGCAATAACAAAAAATTACCCTTAAATACCCTTTCGCCGACTAATCGACCGAAAATAAAAGTCACATCTTAAATAGGTCTATTTGCACTAATTTGTTATTTAATTTATAATATTTTAATTTATAATCATAGTCGCGATGTTATGTTGCACACTGGCGAGGCACCGTGCTTTAGTAACCAAATATGGTAAAGGTCGCCATGTAAAGTGGGAGGTTGAAGAATAGTGATAAAAACGAATTATGTTCTAATACTCTCGTATTTATTACGAATTGCCTTAATATATAAGATACATATTCCTTAAGACTATTCCTCATAATACACTATTAACTTTTTCGAAGTATCTCTTTCTTAGGGCAAAGACGTTGCTCAGATCTATTCCCACACATTAATGACAGGCATTAAATATGATTAGCTAGTATGCAAAAGCTTTACTTAACGAGCTATGTAAAGGGCTATGCTCGGAGTTTCGTAGTATGCATGACAGAATTCGAAATGAGGATATAGAGGAAATAGGCAAAAAAACTAAAGTGGTCACATAGCTCGAAGAACCAACAAAACAGCCAATGGAGAAAAAAGTTTTTTGAGTGGCGACCTCGTACGGGCAAATGCAATGTAGGACAATCCCCCACTAGATGGAGTGACGACATCAAATGTATTGCAGGGAATTAGTGAGTGCAGGTGGTTCAGGATCGTTTATTATGGCAATCTATGGAGAAGGCCTATATTAAGCAATGGACAAATAATAGCTGATATTATGATGATGATAGCAATCTAAACTACGTTCGCACCTATTACATAATGTTCTGTGTTTTATACAAATCTCGTTAGCTCATCGGTGGTCTACATACTGTAAAAGCAAGTATAGAAATAGGTATTTTGAAATCAAATTAAACGTCACAATGTACCGATAAATAACATTCTTGAAAACAAACTAAATAAGTGACCGTAACAATTTTTTTTTTTTATAAATATTACATTTGATTGCTATTATTATTTATAATGTTTTCATATAGCTATACACTTTCATATATAACGCAATTTGTTATTCTGTAGCTACATGTTGCGCTAAAGCTAAAAGATCCGGTAAAAATTCCTCCATTTTGATAGCCCATTAAAAGCGCCAGATTCTCACGTATCAAATCGCAACTTAAGTTAGCATTGCTACAATTGAATATCAAAGGAAAAATATATAACAAAAATCGTAAGCACTTTTTTGTATTAATAACTAATGCTAACCATTAATGTTCACCATGTATAAATGTAGCAATTGATGAAAGACTAAAACTAAAAAGACTGTTAAACTCTATATATTTGAAACCTGTATCGAAATATGAAGTTAAGAAACAAATAAAATCTCTAAATAAGAGTAAATGTGAAAGGTACGCTGAAATATCTACAAGAGTAAAAAAATCTTACGTAGATGAGATAGCGTAACTGATAATTTATCATTTAAACAAGGATGTTACCCAGATATGCTAAAATATTCTAAAGCTTTTGTATAAAAAAGGAAACAAAAGTGAAATAAATAACTACCGACCGATAACTCTAATATCGGTGATATCCAAAATATTTGAGAAATGTATGTTATCACGACGTACAAATTATTACTTTAAATACGATATCTTAAGTAAGATACAATATAGGTCTCAAAAATATAGATCGACTATATTAGCTATTTACTTTTTAATTATAAATGAAAATACAGATTTAAATAGAAAATTAAATGCCATATAATAGGTATAAGAGGCTCAACTCTTCAGTGGATCTCTTCGTACTTAAAAAGTAGACAACAAAAAGTTGTAATAACAAGACTTGACAAAAAAATTACGTTAAATCATATACATCTAATTATGAATATAATAAATTAGGGGTTCCATTTTAGGTCCTTTTTTTATTTTTAATACATGTTAATGATATTGTAATTGTAACACATTATAAATGTGTATTATTTGACGATGAGATCTCTATCATTATCTCATCTGAAAATAATATAAATAATGCAATTATAAACCATCAAATACTATTGAATCGGTAGTTGATTGGTTAAAAAACAACTATTTACATATTAATATGTCTAAAATCCCCTATATACATTTCAGTACTGGTAGACTTTAATTATACACACTAGAAATAAAATATAAGAATGAAAAAATAGAACGAGTGAATCACAATTTCTAGGTGTTCATATAGGCAAAGAGATTGACTGGCATATACAAATGGAAAAAGTATGTAATAAATTAAATAGTTTTGGGTATTTCTTAAAAGAATAAAAAATGCAATTGATTTAAAAACAGTTATTACCTCATATCATGCGTATGTTGCGCCAGTTATTAAATACGATCTAATTTTCTAGAGTAAAAGTTCGAATGCAAATGAATAAATACCCTATTCATTGCGCAGAAAAATATATACGAGCTATGTGTGGCAAGGTACCTTATGAAGCGCGCAGATCTATATTTAAAAAGTTAAATGTTCTACCATTATGTCTTCGATATTTGTAATTTTGTAAAACGCAACTATTATCTGTTTACATGTGTTAGTGAAAAATATTCGAGAAATACTCGAAATATGAATAGATTAATATTAAACCACTGCCCTAGACCTACACGATTCCAAAAGAAATGTATATGAACTTGAATAAAATATCTAATAAGATACCTGACAATATTAAGGATCTTGATGTTAGACATTTTAAAAAAACAATTGTATAACTGTGCTTATATAAATCATTTTACAGTATAGACAAATATTTAATCAATTTAAGATAACTAATAAATTTATCACAATATTTCTTTTTTATTATAAATGTTAGATTTGTATTTTAATTACGTAAGTAATAACATAAATAAAGGGCATTTAATTTACACAGATGATAATGTTAAAAATATACATTATGTACAATATGACTAGGTATATTATAGTAGTGTAGTGTAGTATATAGTATTTTAATAAATTTTGCATACCAGTATTTTGATAAAACAATGTAACTATGTTTAATGCGAATAATCTGGATCTAAAACATTTTAATTCCTTTTCTAGGTTACTCATATTGCGGTCTTCCTTTGGTCGTCGAACCTTCGGTTGCAAACAAGAAAATGTAAGTGCAATCTATTTGTTTTCATCCGCTTGCGTCAGTCTCCATTCATATTTAATCATAACGGTAGTATAGGAACAACACGGAATGAATCAACTTCGAATGATCTTCGTTTAATACTAAGAGGACTACGTGTTTACCTCCTTTTGCATTAACTGTCCATTGTCTACAGTGAAGCGATTGTTTACGAAGTAACAAGAACAGATTTCTGGATTGATCCATATTGTTCTATGTATGTATGTGTTATAGACTGAACCCTTTTAAATTACAATATGTAAATGTAAGTCCGTGTGATGACGGAATAAGAAAACAGCTTTAGTGGTAATATGGAGATTTCATACGAAAGAAGACCGCTGAAATAAACGCACGGTGGAAATTCGTAGGGGTACACACACAACCGTGCACCTAGTTTTACTGCACGTTTTTATTCCATATTATTGTATAATATAATATTAAAGCTGATACCTATGCACTACAGAAAAAATTTATACATAATATCTACCGAGTAAAACCACTAAATACCAGAAGGAAGCTTTGTACAAAAGCCATTTGCTTGGGTACCTCTGTCCCATTCGAGTTTCTAGTGTGAAGCAGTTGTTTGCGTGGCTGTGTTTCGGTTTGAACGGTGGAATATGGCAGTGAATTTACAGGGTACAGAGGAATAACACTTGAGTCCTCAGGAATGGCAACGCATGGGGGTACCATGGCCGAAACAGTACACCCTATTATATCCATGGTAGGTACTGCTCATGTCTAGGTATAGGCGACGCTTATCGCTTTCCATCAGGTGTACCAACAACTTGCTTGCCATTCTAAGTTGTATAAAAAAACACACACAGCGTTTCACTACATAGGTTTTTTGTCGATCTATTAGTGTCTACTGCATTGAGTTGTAATGAATCAGTTAACCTATTTGTTAAAAAAAGATGTTAGCAATTGCGCTTTCAGTTTGATTTCGATGAACTTTTGGTTTCGAGACGATGATGTCCTCAGAAAATATTTTATATATTATTTATTTGTTATTATTTAATTATAATTATTATTATCGAAGCATTTGGCGTTCCATTGTTTCTGCCTACCCTAATGGGAGACAGGCGTGACAGATATGTATGTATGTATGTATTTAATTATAAATTATAAAAAAAATAATTTTTAAATTTAAGTATTTTATATAATATTGTATTACATGTTTTTTATTTACTTATTACTTTTCTAAATACTGAAGTTAGACAGACTATTACACGATATGACTAGCTTGCGTATAAGTGTAAGTAAAGGATAAATGGTTGTATGAAAGTCTGTGATTTCCAAAATAAAAAAATGGAATTTTATTGTGATTAGAAAAAAATGTACAATAACGAGCATATATATATATATATATATATATATATATATATATATATATATATATATATATATATATATATATATATATATATATATATATATATTGTAAAATATGTTTTTAATTTCATATATTCTACTTAATTCTTAGTTCAGCATTGCTTTTGTCAGTTTGTTAATTTCTAATGTATCGACTTTTTTATATTACAATATATTTTTTTTATAATGCTTTTATGATGATTTTCAGTGTCAGTGTGCCGAATCTGCAAAGCACGAGCACTACCCAACTAAAAGAAACTAATAGCGACTCCCCATCTGGTGGCTGGAGGTAAGTACAATTTGCGTACACAATTTCAAGATTACTTGCGGTTTTCATTGTATTTATTAGGTAATATATCGATTAAGGAAACTCAGGGAAGCAGATCATGCTAGCTTTAATAAATAAATAGGTATGTTATTAATGCTTGTTGTTGTTATTAACTAACAATTAAACATGTACGTAGCATTTGACAGGAGTAACGAATAACGGATTATTCTTGCTAGATTGTTATTTTTTATTCTTCTTCTTTTTTGCTTCAATTTATTTTTCTTATGTAATGCACATTTATTGGATGTCTGCGTTTGAGTTAAAGAACGTCACCTTAATTCTCAATGCTGTGCTCGCCTTTTATAGACACTTGTATCAGGTCTAATTTTGTATAGATGTTTTTTAATGAATTATACATATACTACAGTTGGTGTGCTTTAATAAATTAATTAAAAGAAGAGAAGAAACTAGTCATATTTTTCTTTTACTTTTTATAGTTTTATTTTTATTTTATTTATTAATAAACAATATTTTTTATTTAAATGTCATAGTAGGTACAATAAAATTCATACAGTACATGAAAATATAAATTAAATTAAGCACAAAAATAAATATTATAATCACTTACGAGTCATCTCTTAACTTTGTGTAATATTTAAATTTAACATATATATTTAAATTTACGAAAGTAAGAATTCGTCAATTGAGTACAGACCTTTCTAGTAATAATGACTTCAATTTTGTCCTAAAGATATTTAAATCATTCAGTGACTTTAATTCTTTAGGCAGCTTATTAGATAACACCACCGCTTGATTTGCTAGCAATACACCCTGCCTGGTCGACCTTCTCGCGGTCCTTTTTGGAAACTGTCGTGGTAAATTCCTGATGAATTCATCATGAATTCATCACAATAAGTCAACTGACCCGTCTTCGTCCTCATCTATCATCCCTCACTAGTACCCCGCAAGCGTATACCGCCTCGATAGCGCAGTCGGAAGTTACTACTCCATCATTACCCATAAAACAATATAACGTTTAGGTAAGTGTGTAGGGGAGTCTAGCAGTGCCCTACGAGTATTTGTGTAGTGAGTGTGCCGAAGATCGAATTCCGCATGCCCGACGCCACTTGTTGAATCTCAATGGTCCAAGGAACGTTAGTGTTAGTACGCCATTCTACCTAAATAGCAAATAGCAATAATATTAATCAATGAATAGTAAAAGTGTACTCAATATACTTGTTAAGCTTTTTATTGTACCTATTTTATGTTGTTCACGTAAAATAGCGCATTATTTTCATTGTACCGAAATATTTATGGAATTCGTTATTTAAATATAAAATGTGTTTGTTACCTCTTATCTCTGATGTACGCGAATAGGTATAGTATTAGTAGAACTGTTAGCCCTACTAGCCCGTGGCTTTGCCAACGTGAATAAGTAATATATAATTTTATATATATTATAATATTTTTAATATTCAAACGTCCAAACATCTTTACAAACACATTTATAATGTTAGTGGAATTTGGTGAAATAACTAATGATTACGTATTATATTATTCCCATGAATTTGCCCTTAGTAAAAAGTCTCGAGATTTTGATCTTTGTCAAGATGTCGGCACGCATTAAGGGGCAGATACGAATTGATGCTCTTATCTACTACCCGATCGGCGATCTTTAAAGACCGGTATTTGAACAGTGTACCGTTGAATAGCGTGCCAAATGCTTTTGTATAGAAAAAGCAGAGGCAGAATTCCAAAGGGGTACCTCCACAAATAATAATATTACAAGTAGGTAAATTTACCGAATCTGTTTTTTTTTTTTTATATTTGGCATATTTAGCAAGTCAACAACATTAGAGATAATTTATCGAAATTACAGTACATAAAATGAACAAATACCAACATGTATCTCGCGGTTTTGCCCGCGTGACCCGTGTACCGAAATTCATTCAATAAGCACCATTAACATACAAACATCTAAACATCTTTATAATATAAACTTTCACATATATAACATTAAAAGAATAACCAACTACGAAATTTATTCTCTCCCCGACTCCAATCCCCATTTTGTTTAATGGCGACCCTGTCGGGTTGACCTTCGCGTGATTTCTTTGGTGACCGTCGTTATTAATTCCTAATGAATTGGTCATGACGGGCCAATGAATCTGACTTCGCTTATTATCCCTTACTAGTACCCCACCAGCGTAAACTCTAGCGCAGGTGGGTTACCATAAAAAAGAAAAACATTAAAAGTTAAAATCGTGAGGTCGCATCTTTCGTTTGTTACTAATTAAAAGAAAATATTCTTTACTTATCAATATGTTTTACTTAACAAATTAATAGTCGAGTATCTAATTAAAAATTTAGATTAATATATTATCATGCAGTGAACAATTATTTTATCTACTTGGTAGGTACTACCATAAGAATAAAAAAGTCTTTATTCTTATGGTACTACTCATGACATAGCTGATTGACTATTAAGTGAAAATTAAATAATATAAGTAGGTTTATGTGGAAACAGAAAATTTGTTATTTCTGATTTAGTGTGGTGTGCTGTAGTGTGGAATCGGCATTTGGGCGGAGTAATTTGGCGGGAATGATGCCCATATAGTACGCATAGTAGGATGGGGTGCAGGATGGAGGCGCTCTACTGGAGTGCCTTGGGCACGTGGGCTCCGGGTGAGAGAGCGTAGGCGGTGCGCCCACGTGGTTCGATCGATAGGAGGTGACGCAGGCGCCGTAGAGCCATCCATCGCGTCGCCAACCGCCTGGCCGCCATTCAGCCGCCGCGCTGGACCACCCTCCGTACAATCTTCCCGGCAAACGCTATGCCACACACACCACCTACACGATAGATACTTATAGAAATCTTACTATAACTACCTACGAGCCTCTTTACGACTTCTCTACGAGTATATCTTTAAAAAATCAATGAGATATATACGAGTATTTAGTGCTTACACATAATAAACGTAATTTGTACAAGTAACAATATTCTTAGAAATATAAAGTAAGAACTTTATAAGCAAATTTACACATGAATGAAAGTAATTACAAGGAAGTGTACTTCCTCGGAATTCCATTTCTAACATAACATGCTAGAAAGAAACCGTTTAACTTTATCCTTGACTATGGAGTAGATTATTAAAAACCTTAGTAGATGCCTACCACAAGAAGAATATCTATGCATTTCAATTCTGTAGGCAGGGAAATTGACTTTGTATTAAAGAATTTTATATGAAGGCAAACTTTTAACAACGTGTTTTATTTTTACTACGATACCAGAAGAGTAAATCAGAAGTTAATTACATAAATTATGTAAATAAATGTATATTATTACTTCAGGATCGCATTCAACCCTTAGTGAGATATTGAATCTATTCCCTATCTGAATTCTGTTCTATAGATTGATTTATTATGAGTAGATGGACTAAAATGATATCCATTCTCCACAAGCAGCTCAGTCATTAATTAAACGTAATCAGCAACTCGAGCATCAATATAAGCTATCGAAACTAAATTCGATAACTTTAATGTATTAGCACAAGATATTTATTTATATAATTTAGTAGCCATACATTTAAGCTGTGGTTTTTTTTTTATACACAGTGTAAAGAGTTATCTTAGACGATGCTTTATTTATATCATGTTCGTTGTTTTAATGGATGAAAATGAAATGGTGTCCCTAAGCTAAGTTACATATATACATATAATATGGTATACGATGACCTTTATTGCATTTTTTATACGAAATAGACACCTAATAATTAATATTATTGATACTACAATTCGTTTTTTTTTTTTTTATTTTGGGCCGTAGGTAATTATGATTAAAATCTGGATCGTATAACAAGTTTGTTTTTGAATGGTTTTTGATAATATTTTTAAAATGCTGCTAATTAGAAACAAGGTTTCATTTTCCTGTAATCCCAATTACGAGTAATATTATAAATGCGAAAGTGAGTTTATTTATACATATTTCATTTTAAACTAATTTTTTAAAAGATGGATTTGTTTTTATAATTATTTTCTACCTACACCAATAACCAGATTTGTTGAACAAAATCAATAATAACGCGAGCGAAGCTCTGAAGTTTCTGAAGCGATCTTTAGCTTCAGGAACTTTGAAGATAAGGGAGAGGGGTTTGTTATATTATCAATCATAACTAAAAATGAAGTCCTTTCGTCTACTAGTCGACTTGGACTAGTAGGTTAATTTTGAAATATTTCCTATCTGTTTTGGGGACACCCTAGAAAATAAATATATTTTTTCAATTACTTCCATTGCAGAATATGTAGACCGATGGTATGTAAAACTGTTTAAGTTTTAAATCCGTAACATTAGTATTTGCTGAAATATAAACTGTGATAGACGAACGGACAGTTGGACCATTAAGTCGCACCATAACGCAGATCCTTTGTACCTTTTTGGTATGGTTATGTGGGCACACAGAGTATGAGAAAGTTGGAAACGTTACACTATACTGAAGGTAAATTAAGATAAAAAAAATAACACATGCGTGATATGCAATTGCGATGTTCAAATTTGTTTTACCATTAAGTTGGCAAACAAGCATACGACGTACCTGATGGTAAGCGGTTACCGTAGCCTGTGAACGCTTGTAATACCAGAGGTTTTATTTTATGCGCGCATTGCAGACCATGTAGGAACCTCTTTATTCCCTTTTTCGATGAATACCATGCTGTAGTCTCTTGGAAAAACCTCGAGAGAGAGCTCAATTCATTTCAGGGAGAATTCTTTTTTACGTATCTTAGCAAACAAGCTGACGTCTCACCAAATCGAAAGTAGTAACCTTCGTTTATAAACATGAACAGTACCATGTTCATCCGTTGATTATTTAAGAAGCGCGCTCCTGTCGGCGCGCTCTGGTAACTGAGGGGTGACTGGTGAGCTCTTGCAACTCACCACCATTTTCGGCGACTTTACATTAAGAAGATACAACACAACACCAATACTTTTCTTAACCTACCTGATGTAATTATAACTTCTTCTTCCCCTTCTCCTACTTTCTACTATTTTATGTTCTGTTAATTTTGAATATTCAAAATTCGTCGTGTTGAATCAAGGGTCACAACATCATTGAAGTGAACACTTCGCAGGCGAGGTTATTATTTCAAGCAAGCGGTTAACTGTCCGCTTGTTGACAACCGCTTCATTAGTAATAATCCCTTCTCCTCTCAGGCAGGCTGGTTTTTTTTTTATTTGTGAGAATGGAACTGTAACACTGTTCGTTCACTATAACTTCATATATAGGGTGTATCGTTAGAAACTTTATATCATCCGGGATGACATAAGCCATACATTTATTTAAAATACTCTTATTTTTTGGCATGGTAATCGTGGATGTTTTTATTTGTAGAACAATATGTACCTACTTATGTCATCTTTCGACATTTAAAGTTATGGGGGCATAACATTATACTCGCAGGGGGAGGGAATTGATAATAACAGTCGCCGCATAAATAGCAAGCAATAATATAAAGAAAGAAAGAATAAAGAAACTCGCAAATCTACATACCTACTTGATCTGATTCCTCCTTCACCTTTTCGCTATCGGACGACCAGAGGGGCCAGAACCTCCACCCTTACTTCATAGACATACCATTTATACGCAAGAAGAGCTTTGCGACTTCCTTCATCATGCGCATGACCAAGGAGTGGAACTCTTTCCCTACTTATGTTTTTTCATCTAAATATAATATAATCTGCACCAGTTTAAAGCAAATGTGAATAGGTTATACGTGGGCCCGAAGGTCCCATCTTAGACCACATC